GTTGCAGTACGCATACTTAATTCTCGATTGCCTATGGATATCAGTGCAGTAGTTCGTGGTTCAGGGTAATCGATGAGCGACGCACTAAATTGCAAGCAGCCATATAGGGGTAACTGCCGTGCCGCTTGGATGTACTCTTTTTGCAGCCCGTGCTCTCGCATACTGGCAAGCTTCTGTAAAACATCAGGTGCTGCTATAATCCAACCATTTTCTATATCAGAAGCTGTTTGTTCGAAGAGCAATTTTAATGACACAGGTTCTTGTAATAAACTGAGGTCATACAGGGGGTTCCAATAGCTCTTGCGCACCATTACCTGACATGAAGAAGTATATTCTTGAGCACGTAATCGAGACAAATATGGCGATTCAAAATCCATCAAACGTCTTAATAGCACCGATTTGTTTTGAGTGGTATCACTGTCTTTTCGACAAACTAAATATAGACAAAAGTGCCTCATGAATTGCGTAGGCAGTTGGACACATTCACACACTGTACGCAATACAGAGCTGGCATTATCACCGATATGGCAATTTACCTGCAGCGTAAAGTCGTTTGAAAGCCATACCTCTAGTACAACAGAAACACGCTTTAAATCACTTCCATTGTATTCATTACTAAGAACACCTTCGGCCAATGTAGTCTCTTGCTGTGCATTTAGCAGATAACTTTGAAAATGTTCCATTTTGGAAATAATCGCATCTTGCCCGCATAATTGTAGGTAGTGTTCTAAAGACGCACGTCTTGATTCCAACTGTCCAGTAGTTAGCGGAAGTAAACGTTTCGGAGGGAACGCAGCTGGCAATTGTATGTTGAGATCAGCACATCGACGACGCAGCTGTTCATGCAAAGCGTGCAATTGCTTATAGCGCAAACAGCAATGGTAGTTACCATTAATGTAGATATTGTAGCCTGTGTAGGTGGTTCCAGTTAGCTCTGCATATAATTCTTGAGTGTCGGGAATAGAGAAGTGCATTTCTTCGCCCGAAATTCTGGTACTTCTAGTTTTATTTTCTTATCACTACCCACACGTCAGTGCTAATAATTGATCTAAATGTTAGTGATCCAATGAAATATTTTGTGAAACTACGTAGAAAATTAACATTACGCTAAACTTTATATTAGTCACAGTCATTCACTCTTATTAATTTTTAATTAATTGATATTTGGGCTTTTGTTATTTTCTTGGTCTTTATTGCTGCCTTGTGCGTTAATGCAGAGTTGTTATATGCACAGGGCTGCATATTGACTTCCGACGAGTTAGTACGATCCCGGCCTAGTTCGAATTTTCGAAAGAAATTAAATAAATAAAAAAATCATATTTATTTAACTTAAAATATACGTGGCACGCTTCCTTAATTTTTTTGTATCAGGGTCGAACTAAAAGATTCTATTCGGAACATTTCCCAAGACTTTTACTGCAAAATGATGTTTGTTCATTTTACTTTATACATATTGGCTTGGACAAATTTGGTTTGCGCAATGCTTTTGTGTGGTTTAGGGGCAGGATTAAAAAACATAACCAAAACATATGTGGGCAAGTAAACAAACGCGAATTAGAATAGATAAATACGAGCGCGATAATAAATATCATGAAAGCCATAAATCCCGAATTGTTATTTGAGCATCGGCCCCATGAAAATATTTTAGGCTTATTTGAAGAGGAAAAGCAGTCCCCTCATGGATTTTTGCGCGTCAGTGCCCCTATGGTGCGTTATAGCAAGTTGGAGTTCAGGCGGTTACTCCGTCAACATGGTGTTAAATTGGCCTTTACCCCTATGGTTATTGCAGACTCATTCATTCATAGCCAAAAAGCCCGTGATAATGAATTTACAACATGCTTGGAGGACGTTCCAGTTATATCACAGTTTGCTGCACGTGATGCATATGAATTCTCCATAGCTGCTCAATTAATTTTTCCATATGTGGATGGCGTAGACCTGAATTGTGGCTGCCCACAATCATGGGCGATGTCAAAAGGTTATGGGTGTGGACTCTTAAGACACCCAGAACTAGTACGAGATATTGTACAAACAACTAGACGTGTTTTACCACAACACTTTAGCATATCGGTAAAGTTGCGCTTGCTCAATGGCTTTGCAGAAGAATCCATCAGATCTACAGTGGAATTAGCACGGCAGCTTGAAAAATGTGGAGCTACTTTTTTAACTCTACACGGTCGAACAATGTGGCAGAAAATATCCGATCCCCTTAATATAAGCGCAATGGCTGAGGTTAAGAAATCAATTCAGATTCCACTGGTGGTTAATGGCAACGTTCGCAGTTTGGAAGAGGCGAAGGATTTGCATGAAAAAACGCAAGCTGATGGTATAATGGCAGCGCGAGGACTCCTCTCAAACCCAACACTTTTTAACGGACAGTTGAAAGAGAGAGATACGCCTGTAGAATGTGTGCAGCAATGGTTGGATATTGCAACGCGCGCAGGAGATAACATACATTTCCAATGTTTTCATCATCATCTTACATTTATGTGGAGCAGCCATATGAAACGAAAATTACGCCTAGAATTCAACAGCTTCACCAACAAGCGACAAGTGTTTGATTTTTTTGAAGAACGGTACGGTTTAAAACCACAAGCGGAATCCCATACTAGTCCCCTCGAGTATACAAAATGCGTTTATCCTCAAGTTGAAGAGACTTCTAGCGTTGACTTAACTCAAAAGATGCCCAAATGGAATGAGAACTCTGATGGAAAATTCTTTAAAGAATTCAAAGAGGATGTATCGAAGAACAAGTCCAGCGAGCAAGATGATTTTGATTTAGAGGGTAGTTTTTTTTCAATATTAGATTGATATTCTTGAAAATGAACATAGAATATAGAAAAAAAAATCTAAAATTTTAAATAAACATTCGAGGTATTCGTGTTTCCATAAAAATGTAAACCGAAAATGCAAGTAAATAAGTTCAAACGGTTTATAACTGTTATGGGTGGCAACGCAACTCAGTTGCCAGCTTTCAGTTGCCAGTTGCCATCTGTAACACCATGTGCAATCTCGTATTCCTCGGACTAAAACTAGTAAAACTGTAAAAAAAAATCGCTCAGAGCGAGAGAGTAACATTGAAAAGTACGGAATCACTTTCTAGTAAAAAATGGTAACTTCTGTCAACTTCAACATAACCCCCGAATTTTGGTTGTAAATTTCTGCTTATTTTGTATGTAAACACACTCGGCTCATAAATAACCAAAAATACTTTGAAATTCATAAGAATCCACTTAAACAAGTAATTTAATACTTTTCAACATGAATTAGCAGAGTGCACTATTCTTTTGTTTACAATTTGGTTGCCAAACACGCTACAGCTGATCGTTTGACACATTTACCAGTATTTACCAGCAAAAACTCTTCGGACTAAAACTGGTTACGAGGCTTTAACGAGTTTAACGGAATACCCCTTTTATATTTAATTTCATAAAACAA